AAAAAAAAAAAAGAAAAGAATTAGAAGCTGCTACAATATCCAAGTGAGAGAGGACTGTGACATTAGCAGGAAATGGAAAGGAAGGTGATATTAAATAAAATAAATCAAAAAGGTAAAAGCAATGAAAACTGGTGGGAATTTGGTTACAGGAGACAATAGTCTAGTAACATGATTCCCAGGTTTGGGTTGGGTGGCTAAAGAAGCCATTAAATGACAAAATTCAGAACGAGTTTTGTCATGGTGTACCTAAAGTACTCTTAAGAAATCCAAGTGTGGGCTCAGTGCCTGTAGCTCAGCAGCTAGGGTGCCAAAAAACCATATACACTGGAGCTGACGGGACCAAACCCAGCCTGGGCCTGCCAAACAATGACAACTAAAACCCAAAAAAAAAAAAAAAAAAAAATAGCTGAGCCTTGTGGTGGTCACTGGTAGTCCAAGCTACTTGGAAGGCTGAGGCCAAAGAATTGCTTAAGCCCAAGAATTGGAGGTTGTTGTGAGCTGTGACACTCAACAGTAACATAAACTCTGTCTCAAACAACAACAACAACAAAAATCCAAGTGTGCCGGGCACAGTGGCTCATGCCTATAATCCTGGCACTCTGGGAGGCCGAGATGGGTGGATTGCTTGAGCTTATGAGTTTGAGACCAGCCTGAGCCAGAGTGAGACCTCATCTCTTAAAGAACAACAACCAAAAAAATAGGTTCGGTGCCTGTGGTTAGGATGCCAGCCATATACATCGGGGCTGGTGAGGCCTGCTAAAACAACAATGACAACAACAACAATAGCTGGGCGTTGTGGCAGGTACCTGTAGTCCCAGCTACTTGGGAGGCTAAGGCAAGAGAATCACCTAAGCCCAAGAGTTGAAGGTTGCTGTGAGTTGTGACGCCATAGCACTCTACCAAGGGTGACAAAGTGAGACTCTGTCTCAAAAAAAGAAAAAGAAATCCAAGTGGAAATGAAATGTAGATTAAGTAATGGAAATATGGATCTAGAACTCAAACTAGGGGCGGTACCTATGGCTCAGTGAGTAGGGCGCCGGCCCCATATACCGAGGGTGGAGGGTTCAAGCCTAGACCCGGCCAAAATATAACAAAAAATAGACAGGTGTGGTGGGCGCCTTCAGTTCCAGGTACTTGGGAGGCTGAGGCAAGAGAATCACCTAAGGCCAAGAGCTGGAGGTTGCTGTGAGCTGAGACACCACAGCATTCTACAAAGGGTGACAAAATGAGACTCTGTCTCTAGAAAAAAAAGAAAAAGAAAAATAGAACTCAAAATAGAAACTTAGTTAGCAATTTGTCAATAGGTATGTAATCAGAGAAGTAGGAGAACCAGAGTAGAGTTTTCAAACAAAGAGGAGACATGTTAAGGGGTAGTCAACAGTATCAGATATACATAAAGGAAAACGAAGATTCCTATTTTAGCAATTAGGAAGTCAATAGTGTATTCAAAAGCAGGTTCAGTGGCATAGGGTCTGAGTAGATGAGAAGCTGAAGCAGTTAATCTATAGGTCTTGGAAAACTTTTTTTTTTTTTGAGACAGAGCCTCAAGCTGTCCCCCTGGGTAGAGTGCCGTGGCATTACAGCTCACAGCAACCTCCAACTCCTGGGCTCAAGCAAGTCTCCTGGCTCCGCCTCCCAAGTAGCTGGGACCACAGGCGCCCGCCACAACGCCCGGCTATTTTTTGGTTGCAGCTGTCATTGTTGTTTGGCGGGTCCGGGCTGGGGATTCGAACCCGCCACCTTAGGTGTACATGGCTGGCGCCTTAGCCAGTTGAGCTATAGGCGCGGAGCCGGTCTTGGAAAACTTTTAACAGTAAATGGAAAATAACAAGTAGTGGTTACAATAGGATAGAGTTAAAAAATTATTATTATTATTATTTTTTGAGACAGAGTCTCCCTATGTTTCCCTCAGTAGAGCACCTTAGCTTCATAGCTCACAGCAACCTCAAACTCTTGGGCTTAAGCAATTCTGTTGTCTAAGCCTCCCAAGTAGCTGGGACTATAGGCACCCATTGCAACACTCAGCTATTTTTTTTTATTTTTTGTGCAGTTGTCATTGTTGATAAAATTACTTTGTGGTTTTTTTTTGCTTTTCTTTTTTATTTATTTTTGTTGTTGTTGCAGTTTTTGGCTGGGGCCAGGTTTGAACCTGCCACCTCTCCTAACATGGGGCCAGTGCCCTACTCCTTGAGCCGCAGGCGCCGCCCAAAATTACTTTGTTTTTAAGGTGGGAGCTACTTGAGCATGATTATAGACTTTAGGAGGATAAAGTAGTTGTCAACTAAGAAAGCATAAGCCACTGTGGTGGTTCAGCTTGGTGGCTCACACCTGTAATCCCAGCACTCTGGGAGGCTGAAGCAAGTGGATCACATGAGCTTAGGACTTTGAGACCAGCCTGAGCAAGAGTGAGAATAAAAAATAAATAAAACTAGCCAGATGTTATGGCAGGCATCTGTAGTGCCAGCTACTCGGGAGGCAGAAACAGGAGGATCTCATGAGCCTAGGAGTTTGAAGTTGCTGTGCTCTATGACACCATAGCACTCTACCCAGGATAACTGGACTGGGTAGGTGAGATCTCAAAAAAAAAAAAAAAAAAAAAAAAAGAAAGCATTGGATGGGAAAGGAGTTTAGAACAGCCAGAAGAATGAACCTCAAGTAGCTTGGCACCTGTGGCTCAAGTGGCTAAGGCACTAGCACATACACCTAAGGTGGTGGGTTTGAATCCAGCCCGGGCCCTCCAAACAACGACAGCTGCAACCAAAAAATAGCCGGGCATTGTGACGGGCGCCTGTAGTCCCAGCTACTTGGGAGGCTGAGGCAGGAGACTCGCTTGAGTCCAGAAGTTAGAGGTTGCTGTGAGCTGTGATGCCACAGCACTCTACCCAGGTGGACAGCTTGAGGCTCTGTCTCAAAGAAAAAAAAAAAAAGAATGAACCTCAAATAGAAGGGAAAGGAATCTTCTTCCTCTAAAATAGGGGGAGGAAATTTCAGGTATAGAAATTTTTTTTTTTTTTTTTTGGAGACAGAGCCTCAAGCTGTTGCCCTGGGTAGAGTGCCGTGGCATCACAGCTCACAGCAACCTCCAACTCCTGGGCTCAAGCGAGTCTCCTGCATCAGCCTCCCAAGTAGCTGGGACCACAGGCGCCCGCCACAAGGCCCGGCTAAGGATTCACAGGCGCCCGCCACAACGCCTGGCTTTTTTTTTTTTTTTTGGTTGCAGTCATCATTGTTGCCTGGCGGGCCCGGGCTGGATTCGAACCTGCCACCTTAGGTGTATGTGGCTGGCGCCTCAGCCACCCGAGCCACAAGTGCTGAGCCCAGGTATAGAGATTTAAGGAAGAAAAGCAGATAAGAGAATTCATACCAAGTATTCTACATTTTCTTGTCAAAGTTTTAAGTAGGAAACTTGAAAGAAGTAGTGAAGACTTGAAGTGGCTCTTGAAGAAAATGAGATATGGCTTAGCCCAAAAAGGACAACATGAATTTACATTGGTACCAATTTGTAAATGCAAAATTCACCTGGCATAAAAGCCAAAAAACAGCTAGAACGATCCAAGTAGAATGGGTATTGGGAAAAGAGCAGCTGAAAGGATGCATGATGAGGATTGGGCTAGATAAAAAAGGAAGTCAGAGCCACCACAGTAGCTTAGGCCAAGGCCGAAGGATCACTTGAGGCCAGGAGTTTGAGGTTACAGTGAGTATGATAACATCACTACACTCCAACCTGGGAGACAGACTCAGACCCTGTCTTTTAATAAAAAAAAAAAAAAAAAAAAAAAGTCAAACCAGAATAGTGGGGGAAGGGGGTCGCACAGGAGGGAACAGGTTCTAAGGACATTAAGTTGAAACAGAACCCATACAGTGGGTATGAGAAAGCTGAAAGGACAGAAAGTGAGAGTGGAATGTTATTAAAGTTTGGGTACTAACAAGTTCCATAGCATGACCTCTGGAGTAATGAAATGAGAGGTGAGCTCCTTAGAGATAATATCAAAGAAACATGAAGGCCAGCATGCTGGATAACTGCATCATCCTTGAAATTAGCCAGGATGATCACTGGATTTGGGAAAGAAATGAAGGACAGCTGGTGTCCAAAGTCATCAATGAATTTAAAAACACAGCAGAGGATAGATGACTATAGCAAGAAAGAAAAGAGGGCAATCACATCAGACAACATGAGCTGCAAAGGAACTATGGGATGGATACACTAAAAGAGGTAAATGAGAACTTGGGGAATGCCAGTGGGACACAAGGGATGAGAAGACTATGAGGAAGTGGCACAGGAGAAATCAGGTATGAGGAAAAGCAGGTGTCCCATGAAAAGGATGTACGGTACTCAGCACAGTAAGAGGGTTTGGAGGAACAGAGAGAAGGAAAAGGAGAACAGAAGAATAAAGGATTCTAGGCTAGGCCAATAGCCTGGCTACTGCTAGAAGCAGAGAGGCAAAAGAGGCACTGAGAAACAATTCAATATGATCCTGAAGGTCTTACTCCCTGACCCACCCCTACTCTGTCCACTATCACCATCCTTACAGACAGCAGGCGGTAGATATAGCAGGTCTTCTTTTGACCATCACGCCAGACCCGGGCCATAGCTTGTTCATCATTGGCAGGGTTCCAGTCAGGGTCAAACATGACTAGCCGGTTAGCCCCAATGAGGTTAAGGCCACAGCCTCCAGCTTTGCTGCTCAGCATGAAGACAAAGTCAGGGCTCTGGGAAGAGGGAGCAGAAGAAAAAGAACCTCTTAGAGCCTAAACTAGGATCCTACTCAGCAACTCAGAGCTCTTATGCCTCTGTATTCTTACACTCAGACCAACTGGGAAGACCACTAGCCAAGTACTCAACCCATAAAGTCCGTTTCTAACCCAGCCATCACCAACCAGCCTAACCCCACCACATCCACGGGGGGGGGAGTGGGGTGGCATAAGGGAGTTCCTTATTTCTGATGTCACTGCATTTGATGGTATGGGGGCACGGGCTGTGCATTTACCGATGGACTATTGAAGCGTTCTACAACCTTGGCTCGCTTCTTAATGGACATTGTGCCATCCAGGCGGACATATAAGTACCTGAAGGGAAATCCAAGATTAAGACCAAAGAAGAAAGAAGAGTCCCTTGAGTCAGAGCCATTGAAGGAACTGGACTAACCATGCCTGAGGTTTTAAACTCCCAAAGGAAGGGGAAGGGAGGGAGCTGGGGGCCAGGACCCCGTCCCTATGAGAGCACATGAGGGACTAGGGGAAATTCTGCTTAGAGATGGAACTAGGACCATAGCACCAATAAAGGAACAAGACATCTCTAGGGAAATCTCTCATGCACCCATATCTTAACCTGCATCCACCAATCAAAACACCTAATCTTACCAGAGGGGCAGTAGAGGAAGCACACCTCTTTAGCATCCTGGCTAGGCTCTTCCCTACCTCCGAGCCCGGCAGAGCTTCTCAAAGAGATCCAATGTCTGAGTGTAATTGGACACCAGCACAACTTTGTCATTGCTGCGGCTTCGGGTCACTGCCAGAATATAATCAAGGACCAGCATCTTACCTGGGAAGAAAACAATCATTAGCACCGAACTGGCCATCCCAGTAGCCTAGGATTCTTATTTATTTATTTTTTTTGTAGAGACAGAGTCTCACTTTTTCGCCCTCGGTAGAGTGCAGCGGAGTCGCTCCAGCAACCTCCAACTCCTGGGCTTAGGCGATTCCTCTGCCTCAGCCTCCCAAGTAGCTGAGACTACAGGCGCCCGCCACAACGCCCGGCTAAGGATTCTTATTCTTGATATACTGTCTTGAAATAGGACAGCTTTAGCACAAAGAGACAATCTACCACTCTATTCTCACCCCTAGAAGACTGAAATACTGGTGGGAAAGGGCTCACCTGACAACTGGGGCTCTAGGCCCTTAGAACTATAACCAGGGGGGAATACATCCAAGGCACCCTCAAAGCCAGCTTCCTCTTCCACACACTTGTCATAGATTAGAGCTGGATCTGGAAGGAAAACAAACAAAAAAAAAATGCCACCTACTTTGCCTTCTGAAGTTTCCACATCAATGCTCACTAAAACTCCCTCTAGAAGCCTAGCCCAGAAGGCCTTCCTCAGCCTCAGGCTTGGTCTTCACCCTCCCAAATTCCAACAGCATGTAGTCAGTGCCACCTGGGATCATGGATGGACAATCTGCTTATTGGTGCATTCTCTCAACAAGAAGGGTGCTATCACAGAGAGGGCAAGGTTTCTTTGTTATTTTCCCTTCTGCCCAGTATTTTATATGAGCATGACTATATGTAGGCACACACACACACAGAGTCCTGTATATCCCAAGCATCAAGCAGGGACTACACAGAGGATATACAAAATTTTCCAAAGCAAACGGCCTAGTTCACAGAAGCCACAATGCAGAGTTCATGCCTTGGGTAGGGTTGAAATCATTGGAATAATGTTTCTTTTTTTTTTTCTGAGACAGAGTCTCACTTGGTCACCCTTGGTAGAGTACCATGGCATTTAGCTCAGAGCAACCTCAAACTCTTGGGCTCAAGCAATTCTCTTGCCTCAGCCTCCCAGGTAGCTGAGACTACAGGCGCCCACCACAGTGCCCAGCTATTTTTTAGAGACAGGGTCTTGCTCTGGCTCAGGTTGGCCTCTAACTCATGAGCTCAGACAATTCACCTGCCTCAGCTTCCCAAGTCCCGGGATTACAGGCATGAGCCATTGCACCCCGCAGAATGATTTTTTTTCTTTCTTTCTTTTTTTTTTTTTTAAAGAAACGAAGTCTCACTTTATCATCCTCGGTAGAATACCATGGCGTCATACCTCATGGCAACCTCAAACTCTTGGGCTCAAGCCATTCCCTTGTCTCAGCCCCCAGAATAACTGGGACTACATGTATCCACCACAACACCTGGCTAGTTTTTGAGACTGGGTCTTGCTCTTGCTCAGGCTAATCTCAAACTCCTGAGCTCAAGCAACCCACCAGCCTCAGCCACCCAGAGTGCTAGAATTATAGTCATGAGCCACCATGCCCAGCCCTGGAATCATGTTTCTATGAGGAGTCCAGACAAGTTTTAGTGAAGATTGCTGGGCCACTACAGAAGCCTACCCTCCATTGCTCATTCTCACACAGTAGGACCCAAGCCCAACTCACGATTACAAAGCTTCTTTAGCGAGGTGATAGAAGAAAGGGAAGACACACTTATCTTGCCCTCACGCAATTCTTCTGCTGGCTTAGCTTGTCTCAGAAACCTCTTGTATAACTCGGTCTGAAGGGGTGTCAGCCTGAAAAAAGGCAGCCACATCATTGGGAAAAGCTTGACCACATTTCTGCATCTTGAAAGCCCGGTCATACCTCAGAACCTAAGCTTTGACACACTAATCCCACACCTTTCAGTTAAATTCAGTACCTACAACAAACCACCTCCTCAATCTTCACAGGCAGGTATTTAGAAAGAATATCAGATGTCCTCCGTATTAGGCACCTACAGAAAATAAGATAAAAAGGTAAGGAAGCTTGGCACCTGTAGCTCAGAGGCTAGGGCAACAGGCACATACATCAGAGCTGGTGGGTTCAAACCCAGCCCAGGCCTGCCAAACAACAACTACACCAAAAAAAGAAAAATAGCTGGTCATTGTAGCGGGCACCTGTAGTCCTAGCTATTTGAGAGGCTGAGGCAAGAGAATCACTTAAGCCCAAGAGTTTGAGGTTGCCATGAGCTGTGACACCATGGCACTCTACCGAGGGTGACATAATGAGACTCTGTCTCAAAATAACAAAAAAAAGGTAAGTAGTTGGTAAAACTACTGTGCATACTATTGGAATAAAAGCTACCACCCAAAGGATCAAGATTGGCTGTCTTGGCTCAGTGCCTATAGCTCAGCAGCTAGGGTGCCAGCCACATATATCAGAGCTGGCAGGTTTGAACCCAGCCTGGGCCTGCCAAACACAATGACAACTACAACCAAAAAATAGCCACAGTTACTTGGGAGGCGGAGGCAAGAGAATTGCTTAAGCCCAAGAGCTTGAGGTTGCTGTGAGCTATGATATCACAGCACTCTACCCAGGGCGACATAGTGAGACTCTGTCTTAAATTAAAAAAAAAAAAGACTGACTCTCTTAGCCAGGCATGGTGGCTCACACCTGTAATCCTAGCACTCTGGGAAGCCGAGGTGGGTGGACTGCCTGAGCTCACCAAGTTCAAGACCAGCCTGAGCCAGAGCGAGACCTCGTCTCTAAAAATAGCTGGGCATTTTGGTAGATGCCTGTAGTCCCAGCTACTCGGGTGACTAAGGCAAGAGAATCGCTTGAGCCCAAGAGTTTGAGTTGCTATAAGCTGCAACAAAGTGAGACTCTGTCAAAAAAAAAAATTACTGGTTCTCTTTTGTAGTATCAAACATCAAGAGATCCTTAGCCCTATGGCAAAGATATCTATATCAGGTCTCAGTCATGGGAACAGAGACCTTGAAAATAGCCTACCATAAAAAAAAGAAAAGAAAAGAAAAGAAAAGAAAATAGCCTACCATCGACTAGCAAATCTTTTCTTCCCCTTCAACTGGCTGGCTGGGTTTTTTGGTTTTGGGGGTTTTTTTTGTGGACCTCAGTAGAGTGTTACAACTCACAGCAACCTCAAAGCAATTCTCTTGTCTAAGCCTCCTGAGTATCTGGGACTATAGGCGCCTGCCACAACACCTAGCTATGTTTAGAGATGGGGGTCTCGATTTTGCTCAGGCTGGTCTCGAATGCATGAGCTAAAGCAACCCCACTCACCTCAGCCTCCCAGACATGAGCCACCATGCCCAGCCATTGGCTGGCCAATCTTTAACACAAAGCTAACAGTCTCCCAAAGAAGCTAGAACTCTAACAGGAAAAGCAAGCTGTAAACCACTAAGCCTTTAGGGCAGTTTCCGCATGCAATTGACCAAATGCCTGCTACCACAAGGCCCCATATTCAATGAAATTAACCCCACTCCAGGGCAGACCAAGAAGAATAAAGATCAGCCCTTAAGAAGTATCTCTTGGGTGGTGCCTATGGCTCAAGGAGTGGGGCGCTGGCCCCATATACCGGAGGTGGTGGGTTCGAGCCCAGCCTCAGCCAAAACTACAAAAAAAAAAAAAAGAAAAGAAAAAAATAAGTATCTCTTAAAAAGACCCTGACTCTCCTTCCTATCATCCAAAATTGGTAGGGAGAGGTAGCTTGGCAGTTGGGAGGCCAGAGGATTCTTTAGGATGCAACCCATAAAGTATGCATACCTCCTCTGGAAAGGGTCCAGAATATATGTACCTGCCCCAGAGGTTATAAGCCCCATGAAAAAATATTAAGTTCTCTTAGCCTAAGAGTCACATCCATCTTTCACATCTTTTACAGGTCACAAGATTCTAGGTCCTGGGGAGAGAAGCCTGGTTCTTTAAGTCTAAGACTGATACGAAGGTTCTGAAGTACTAACAATGCTCCAATGTATATTTTGCTCAGGAAGTCCAACATCTTCAGAGAATTCCTTGGCAGACTGGTAAACAGACCAAAACCAGACCACAGGGCCCAGACGAGAAAGAAAGCAAGGACTTGTCCTATAAGACACCTCCATTTATTCAGTGGCCATAGTCAGGGCACAGATTCCATGTACTTCCTAGAATCCCAGCCTTTGAGGACGCCACATAGGTCAAGTCCCCAAAGGATTGGCCTTGAATGGCTTGGGAAGCAATTCTGATGACCTCATTTGGGGTTGTTACCTATTCACAATGGTGGTGAGCTCCCGCAGTCGCTCCTCTCCTAGCTGCCTATCTGCCTCACTGGCAGCTGCATCTCGACCCTTCAAAATCGGCAGTTCAAAATGCTTCTTGAACTCATGGGCAGTCCCTAAACACAGAAGGAAATATTAAAGAATGTGGAAAATTAATAATTTTCCCACTGCTAGTAATGGCAGACCACTTTGTCACAAACCAATCTTCCTACCTAGAACAACAAATAGGCCAATTTCTATTTAACAGATCAAAGAGATAAAGCAGTGAACCTTTAATAGGCCAAAGAGAAAAGTGGTAAATTAAAATCCAAATATCAATTACAATAAATATAAATGGGCTAAATAGCCCAATTAAAAGACAAAGATGGGGCAGCGCCTATAGCTCAGCGGGTAGGGTACTGGCCCCATATACTGAGGGTGGAGGGTTCAAACCCGGCCCCAGCCAAACTGCAACAACAACAAAAAAATAGCTGGGCATTGTGGCAGGCGCCTGTAGTCCCAGGTACTTGGGAGGCTGAGGCAACAGAGTCACCTAAACCCAGAGTTGGAGGTTGCCACGAGCTATGATGGGGATAACGTGAGACTGTCTCTATAAAAATAAATAAATAAATAAATAAATAAAAGACAAAGATGGTCAGGATGTATCATTTTAAAAGTCCAACTATAGGCTCGGTGCCTATAGCTCAACCGGCTAAGGCGCCAGCCACGTACACCTAAGGTGGCGGGTTCGAATCCCCAGCCCGGACCCGCCAAACAACAA